TTATATAATAAAGTTATATAAATATGACGGCATTTCCCATCTCAAATGATCGAAGAACGAAACCTTGTTCGCGTTTTTTGACAGGTATTGTATTTGCTTTGATGTAAAGCAGACAAGTTGACTCATCTAAATTTTGGCAGAACGGCAGATCAGATGCCTATAACTTGAAAAGTATGGCACTAAATAAAAACGCGAACACGGTTTTGCTCCTGTATATACTATTGTTCAACATTGTGGCAAAGTTTGGAGGGAATCGGATAAAACGTTCGCGTTTCTGAACTATTTTTGTGGGGACAATTTGAGAATATTTCGTGAGATCTCCATGCAACCTCTGAATATAAATCAATAAATTATTATGTAAAAAATGATGGAATCAGTGTTTTCATCATATAATGTAACCTTAATACGCAGAGATATACAGTGTACAGTATCGCACCATTACTCATTAGAATGATTAAAACGCTTCATAACTTTTAATTTTTTCTTTTTCCACTCTCATGTCCGAGCAGTTTGTATTGCGATGTCCACTTCATATTTCACAATTTAATGCAACGCTAAAGTATTACGCTCTACACAGGAGGCCCAGGCTCGATTTACCAGCGCCGCGCGCGCCTGTGCCTTTCTTATAACAAGGCAAGGAAGGAAACATTGAGACCAAAATAGCCCGGACTTGGCATATGTCACACAAAACTATCCTCGATTTTTCCCCGTTAATGCATTTCTTTCAAGATTAATCGATATCCCCTGCAAGAATGATGACGTATAGCTCTCAAAACAAATATGCTTTAATCAAAGAGCTTAAATCTCTAAAATCCGTGAGGGAATGATAAAATTCAATCAAACTTATATCCGCGTGCCAGGTTTGCTGGACATAAAGCGGAAGTCTTGAATAACTCAAAATACATTTAACTCTGATTGGACAACGATCGAATATCAACAAACATTTCAAATTTAAGAAGTTTAGTGAGTAAAAACGGATAGTTTGTGGAGAAAAATTTGAAATGTTTGTTGACATTTGTTGTCCAATGTAATCAGGGTTGAGTGTATTTTGAGTTGTCCAACGACTTCCGCTTTTTGTCTAGCAAACCAGGCACGCGGATATATTTTGGTCGAATTTTATCATTCCCTTACGGATTTTAGAGCGAATTTAAGCTCTTTGATTAAAGCATCGTTGTTTTGAGAGTTATACGGCATCATTCTTGCAGGGGATACCGATTAATCTTGAAAGAAATGCATTAAAGGCGAAAAATCGAGGATAGTTTAGTGTGACATGTGTCAAGTCTGGGCTATTTTGGTCTCAATGTTTCCTTCCTTACCTCGTTATGAGGAAGGCACTGGCGGGCGCGGGAAAATAGAGCTTGGACATCCTGTGCGCTCTACAGGATTTGTATATGATTGCGAACCTGTTTCTGGAGTGTATTAAAAGTTGGGATACATTTTACTAGTATTTTCGGCGGAAAAAATGGTTGGTTTGAGCGTCGCTTATACGAGATCAGTTGTACAGCTACCCACTCAGCAATATACAGTACTTATAGGCTATCAAATGCAAATTTGCGTTTAATAATTTGTGCTTGTTTACGTTTGTCTCGTCAGTTACATATGTCATATTGTATCCGTTCGAACCAGCATACTTTTTTTTATTCGCCCAGGGTCAATAATATTACATTAATTCTTTTTTTATTGTTTCGATAACAGAGAAAACTAAAAGCGGTAAATTTAGAATTTGTTTTAAAACGGAATCAATCATTAAAGCGGTTGTTTTTATCCGGCTATCTCTCTTGGTCTAAAGCTTTAAAAGTAATACTATATTCCAGGAATACATTTTACAGTACAAAAATCTAAACAACTAAAGTAAATCATACATTTAGATCAATCCAATGTACGATATTCAAAATAAACTCTCCTAAAAACTTGTTCTTTGCATTTCACATAATTCAGCCTACCCACCTACAGGACAAAATGAGTTAAGGTGTCACGTGGCCAGCCTGTCCCAAGGTGTCTTCTAGAGCGTGTTTGGGAATGAAGAGAGCCGTCATGGCTTGCGAGGTTGATTTGAGATGTGTTTTTTCAGTTGTGTTTGTTACTTTAGTCCAAGCACATGCTGCGTCAATGTAAAAAAATGTTATCAGCAAATAAATGCCGAGTTTTCCATTATATAGTTATATAATACATTAATTGCAATAAATAATTATAAACAATCCCCAGAGATCGTTTGTTGCGATACTAAATTATTTAGTACGATCCTCAGATTATTCATAAACCATCCATAGATTATTAACAAAATATAAATAATCCAGGGATAGTTTATAAACCATGAACAGATTATTTATAAACAATGTATAAATTGCTTCCTCGAGCGAAATTAGCCTGCGAACAGGCTCTGAACTGAATTGAGAGCCTGCATCGATGACGAATGAATTTGAAGATCTGCGTCTCAAATCGTGACGCGAAATTCTCATTGGTCAGATGCTATAATTTATATGTTTCCGCTGAGCTCTATATATGTCAACTGCTGAACTATGCATAAAAAAACACATTAACTGATCAAATTGGTCTTGGCCATCTTATCTCAAAGCACGAAATGTTCTGTTTTGAAAAAACAATATTTAAAACATTTAAACTTTTGCTTGCCAATATCTTATATTTCGAAAAACAGTATAAACTGTACGGTCTAAATTTAGTTTGCACGGTCTAAATTTAGTTTGCGCGAAAGTTGTAAACAACACCATATAAGGATAGACATTCCATATTTGGAAAAACGAACGTTACGGGGCAGATTTTCAAATTCATTAGTCATCGATGCAGGCTCTCAATTCAGCTTGAGAGCTTGTTCGCAGGCTAGAGCGAAATGTGAAAAAGGTACTAAGCCTGTCAAATGTATAATAAAAGAGACTGACAGGAAGAAGCATGGGTACGGCTTCTTGATCTAGAATCGCGATGTGACCAAAACGCGCCAAATTAAAAAGCAACTGTGTTTCAATCCACTTTAGTCGCCATAAAAAGTAAGGTAAAGCGGGGGGGGGGGGGGGGGGGTGATTTTCCGTTGGTGGATTGATATTCATATTGTCTTGCGTTATTTAAATTTTCATTTTATCAAACCCCTCCCGTCTTTTTTAAACTGATGGAAACACCACTACCAAAAAAGAAAAATTAATTCTTGTAGCTTGAAAATCCTTTAAACCTTTATCAATTTGCCAGAAAGCAGGGTCAGGGGACGGAGAATCAAGACAAAACTGAAAAACAAGAAAACCCACGACTTTCGGCAGAGCGTTGACTGACTCTTTTCAAATGACTCCGTGTAGCGAGAACCAACCCACGAACTCAGAGGAGAAAGGCGCTTCCTCTGACTACTGCGCCACCGAAGTCCCATTCTAAAGTGGACTGACACACGCTTGCTTTTTATTCTGGCGCGTTTTGATCACATTGCAATCTCGTTCCCCGAGTCTGTTATCCTCGGGAAGGAACGCGAGGCTCTGAGATATCGATAATCCGTTACCGGAAGACAAGAATCCTGGCTAAGATTGAAGTATAATTGAACTACGCATTTAATTTCAACGGCCAATCAGATTTCTCCATGAAACGGATTATGCCAGAGCCTCGAGTTCCTTCCTGAGGATGGCAGGCTCGGGGAACGAGATCAGTCACATTGCGATTCTTGAAGTCGTTGCCCTTTCCCCCGGAACACACGAAGTTGTACCCATGCTAATTCCTGTAATCCGGCTCTTTATTTTACATTAATTTTGGCGGGCTCCGTATTTTCTTACATTAAGCTCGGGAAAATAATCTATAAAAACCATCCCTGGATTATTTTTTGTAAATAAAATTAATTCAGGGATTATTATTTTTTTTTTGATTATTATTATTATTATTATTTTTTGATGATTATTATTATGTTGTTTATTAATAATCCATGGATTATTTATTCAGAACACAAAAATAGTTTGCAAATAATGTATTATATAACTAACTGATGGAATATTATATTTGACACATTTTTGCTGATAACATTTTGCAGCATAGCATGGCTGACATATTGCTAATACGAATTTGATGCAATAGGTGCTTTTCAACTCAGCCAGACAATAAAAAAGGTAAACTGATTAAAACTACTTATTTTCCAAATTATCCAATCAAAAAACAGCATTTGTACCACGTGACAATGTGATTTTTAACGGTATTTCACTCAAATTCATGATTTTGGAATGCAGCGTGAGATCATATATAGTATCCCACGGTAGATCCACCGTGGGATACCATAGTATCTCAAGCTCACGCGTGACGCGTGGGCACCACGCTCTAAAACAATATGGCGTTCGTGAGCTGTTGTTTGTAATTTCGTACCGATGATTTATTGATTTAACCCAAGATTTTCAAGACGTATGTTACCTTCAATGATCCAAAGGATACATGCTAAAATAGTTTAAAGACAAAACGTCAAAAACTCAGATATAAATGACAAATTAAATATTGTATTCGCTTAGTTAATTAATATTGAGCAAATTTTAAAGTTTATTCAAACACTCACAATAAAAATTCGAACATATACGCGGGAATTTCGAACTGGCATTCCGCAAATTCCACAACGCACACAGACAATGTATCGCACAGAAAACGTTGGAAAAATTCTCGTTAACTTTTGCAACTGTTAATATATGTTTGAAACTTGATATATTTCTAATATTATTACATGAAGTATCACGATAACAAATAAATTTAAAGTAATGTTGCGTATAATCTGTCACAGTCCCCGGGTTGATCATTAAACATGATCAAATGACTAACTTAAACTAAATATGAACTGATGAACATTTTCCTAATGTTTTTACGTTTGTTTTGATTCCTAATGTTTTTACGTTTGTTTTGACAGTTTTCGTACAAGTTCTCCTTGAACAGCTGCCTTTCTTGTTGGTCGATTCTTCTTCTCTACAACGGCAGTCTTAACATTACTGTCTAATGGTTCTGTACGTAGATCTTGTGTTCCGGATGATTCTTCATTCACATCAACTAGCTAGTTTTTCTTTATCCTTGTTACCGAATTTCGGGCGAACTTCCAATGGGATTAAATGTTGTTTAGGTCTTCGTATGATGATAGGCTTTCGAGTCTCACTGTTCAACACTCGAACCTTCGCTGATCTTACAACACCGTCAATACTTCGAAGAAGCTCTTCGACCTTCGCTATTTTCCAAAATAACCGTTTCGTGCTCTCGTTCTTCAAAATTACAATGTCTCCTTCGACAATTACGTCCCTTGTACCGTTGTTACTCGAGCTCGCTGCTTCACGAATGCTTAGCAGATATTCTCGTCTCCATTGTTTAGTGAATTCCTTTAGTAGAGTTTTGTGATGTTGAGCTCGTCTGGTCAAAGACTCGTTTGTGTTCACTATCTCGAACTGGCGGTCGTTTGGCGTAGTAGTCGTTCTCCGTCCATAAAGTAGACAAGATGGCGTAAGGGGGTAGGATATCCCTTCTTCATCATCATATATGTACATAATTGGACGATTATTTAACGTTGACTCAATCTCGATCAAGATCGTGCGCAACTCTTCAAACGATAACGTAGCTCGACCAATTGAGTTTTTTAATCATCTTTTAACACTCTTTATCAAACGTTCCCAAAAACCCCCGTGCCATGGGGCCTTTTCGATAATGAATTTCCAAGAAACGCCATTTTTTGCGAGATGTTGTTGCACTTCGGGAGAACGCTTAATTTTTGACAGTTCCTTGCTAGCGGATTTAAATGTCTTTGCGTTATCTGAAATTATCATTCTTGGAAGTCCTCTGCGACCTGAGAATCTACGAAATGCTTGTAAGAATCCTTCGGTTGATAAACTCGGAAGTAGTTCTGCCTGAATTCGCCGTGTTGACGCACAAGTAAATAGAGCGATGTATGACTTTTTTGTTGATTGTTGACTACACTTTGAGTTCTCTTTGACGTTGAGTGGTCCAACGAAATCCACTCCGGTGTAACTAAAGGGAGGGTCATCACTTGTTCGCCAAGATGGTAGGTGTGGAGTCTTGGGCGTAGGGTACGGCTTCCCTTCTAATCGTTTACATGTCACACATTTACGTAGAACTCGCTTGACTGCTTGCCTTCCATGTAGGATCCAATATCTTTCTCGAATACGGTTCAGTGTTCCTTCGATCAGTTCGTCTGCTGATAGTTGTAACGTTTTATCTACGGTTTGTCCTTTAATCCTCCTCACCTAAATGCGTAAGCCGTCACTCGTAATAAACATGTTTTCGAACTATATCGATGACAATCCACCACCTTTTCGACACTAACTGTGTTATGTTTCTTCTCTAAGACTGTAAGGGAATGAGTTGTTGACTTGTTGACTGATTTTACCGTTTCCGATAATGCGATTTCACTTTCTGTTCCATTACATCGAGGAGGTTTCGGCCAGTTTTTTTCTGATAACTTCAGGAATTTAGGACCATGGAACCATTCGTCGTTTTTAACCAGTGCTGCTCCACTACAACCTCGCGAAAGTAATTAAGTCTGCAATGTTAAATTCTCCTGGGCAGAACATCCATTTATCCTCTCCAATGAGTTTTCGAATTTCGTCGACTCTTCTCTGTATGTACTGTTTCCACGGTTTATCATCTTGTATCCAACAAAGCACGGTAAACTAATCAGTCCACATAATATCTTCGGATTTAATAATCGAGACCAAAGGATCTTGCTAATCGAGCAAACCAATCGAGCAAGGATATTAGCTCCTAGAAGTTCCAAACTAGGAATAGACTGCTTTCGTATAGGAGCGACTCTAGTCTTGGATGCTATGATGTTGGTTTCAACATGATGGTCTTCATACTCTGTTCGCAGATAAACTACCGCTGCGTATGCCTTTCCGGAGGCATCACCAAACCCATGGATTTGCTGGCTCGTTATTGGTACATTGAAACGACTGAAGTAGCATCTTGGTACTTCAATTGAATTGATTGACTCAAATCCTTGTAACAGCGAGTTCCAACATGCTAATGAATTTTCATCGAGTTTCTCGTCCCAATCTACGCGATCACAACAAAGCAAATGGAATAAGATCTTAAGATTGATTGTAAACGGACTAGGTATCCAATTGGGTCAAAAATCTTTGCTGAAGCCCTTAGTACAGATCTCTGTGTAGCGTGTAGTCTTTTGGTATATTCAACCAGTAATTCCTTTACACCGAATTGGAATTTGTCAGTTTTAACGTTCCAGTTAGATCCTAATATATTGACAGGCGTAATTTCCTTGCTATGTTGTTTTGAATCAATCTCTTTTTCACTTTCGAAAACTGAACTTGATGTCGTTTGTGTTCCGTTTGACAATGTATCTTTCTCAATTCGATCTTGTAAAACCTTGGAATTCGAATTCCATTTACG